CAAAAAATGTGCAAAGAGGGGCAGCTGTAGACACCTGTTTTTGTTCGGGTCTACAAAAAAATTATATTATATTATTATTATTATTTTATTTTATTAATTTATAATTATTTTTGCATATCCCCACATTTCCCTCTTCGGTGATGCAAGGATTGAAAATGGAAGCTCTAAAGTGAAGCTCACGCAGTCTCAAGCACCAAGTTTCGATCTTTATTGCTGGACAAGCCCTTTAAGTCCACGTTGGCGAGGAATGTGGGTTCAAGGACCTTTTGGTCTTTCTGGTGAAAGTACATTTCTGGTTATTGAATTTGATACAAAGAAAGGTGATAAAGCTGGGAACTTTAATCATGTAGGAATTGATATTCATGGTCTTGAATATGTTAAGGACTCACGTTCAACCCCACACTCACATTATTCCACGAACCCACCATGAATCCACAAAGTCTTGTAAAATCCCATGATTTACGGGATCTTAAGGGGTTAGCAACAAATTATAAAATAGGGGACCATGAATCATTGAGGGGGAGGCCCATCTTTGCTTGCAGTTTCATGTTTTAGCTATGCTTTAACTGGAAAGCAAAACCATAATTCCAAAGGAGAAGCAGTATTACAATTGCTCAATATCCTTGGCCAAGCTGACATCGTTTTGCTCATCCACACACATCCCATGCTATATTTGACAATGGAACCGACTCCCATGAGCCTTTCTTATCAAGAACATAAGCATTATGAGTTACCTCGCAGCTCACCAGTCGCTCACACAAAATGCAAGGCTCAAACTCGACGAAAAACGGCTGCAACCTGGTTACCGCTGCCTCAGGTGGTGTAGGTACATATGTAGTCCAATTAGCAAAGCTTACAAATGCCTTCTATTTTTTTTCTCTAATGTTTGCAGTCCGTAACATTGGATAATTATGGTGGTATAAACTGTTTTTGAATCCAGTGTATTCCATTTATGATAAATTGACCATATTAAATACTTTGTGTGATTGTTTTGTTCGTTCACCTTTGATTCAACTCGAACTGTTATGATTGTGCCTTTGGCTAATTAGAGATATCTTAGCTTATTAGTAATGAAGGCATGACATTAAGGACAAGAAAGCCATGGGAACAATGCCTGAAGCTTACCTATATTTGATTCTTGAAAATTTTAAAACCAAGTTCGGTGAATGAACATCACATTTCTTAAGTGTGGCCACGTTTGTTGCTGATGGAGATATGACCACGCTTTCTTAAGTGTACCATATTTACACATTTTTTTTAACATTGTTTCTCTTAATTCATTTTTTTCTCTTTAATTTATTTAGTATTTTTTTAATCTAACACTTTTTACTTTCTTTTTTAGGGACAATTTTAACTAATTAAAGATAATTAATTCGAATCGAGTTTTTAAATTTAAATTTTATTTTTCGCAATTAAATACAACTGATAAATTAATTGGTACCGAAAGGACAGTTCAAGGGTGCTAATCATTCCTTGACCGTAACCGACTCCCGAGCCCGATACATTTCTGGTAAAATGCAGATCAGGTAAGATGGTGTCCGATCTACCTAAATATCGTTTTAAAATGATCGGTGGCGACTCTTACTCCAATATATTTTCCTAAGTCGAAGCCCAATTCTAGGCCCACCCAAAAGACGGTTCCGACAAGGTTTTTTTTTCCTAATAAAAATGATTGATGTATTTTTTATTAGGGTAAAGTACAAAAATAGTCCCCAAATTTTTAGGGTGCATGCATTTTGGTCACCAAACTTTTGAAACTTACAATACAATCATCGAAATTTTAGTTCATTTTCTGTAAGGTCTTTATCGTTACCTCACCTTAATTTTAGTTGACGTGTCACTTAACCTCGTTAACCCCCCGGTTAACCTTCATTCTTCTTCTTCTCATTCTTATTAACCAACGGTGGACGGAAGAGGGACAACAGTGAGGAGGCACGGCCGACTAGGTTTTGGTTAGAACGATGTGAGGACTCCAACGGTGGTGGCGGTGTGGCGAATGGACGACCCGATCAGCCAAAAATCGATGAAAACAAAAAAGGGTGTTGAGGTTTTTCAAGGAAATTCGGGGCCCTCTCCACGGCGAACAAAGGTGAGTCTCGATGAGTAGGTAGAGTGATTTTGGTCGGAATGGGGCGACGCTCCTATTGGTACCAGCGATGATGATCATAGGAGATTGACGACGGAGATCGGGGATGGGTGTTCGAATGGTCTTCTCGTGATTTGGGACAAATTATGGACGGTCAGTATGAATCGAGGGTCGGGGGTGTAGTCGGGAGCCGACGCCAGTGATGATGATGATGGCAGTGTGAGCCACCGTTGACCGGAGGTGGGGTGAGAAAAGAAGAAGAATAAGTGGGTTAACGGGGTTAAGTGCCACGTCAGTTAAAATTAACGGAAGGTAACGACAAAGACTTTATTGAAAACGAACTAACAGTTCGATGATTGTATTGTAATTTTCAAAAGTTGGGTGACCAAAATGTAAGTGACCTAAAAGTTCATGGATTATTTATATACTTTACTATTTCTATTATTGTAGCATATTTTTTATACTTTTGTAGCATGTTTTTTTAAGGTTGGATTTGACGTCGTCTCTCCAATATGTGTTTATTTGATTTATCTCAAATTTAAACTCTCGAGCTCATTCTCTCATGCTAATAAGTGCTCCCAATCATCTCTGATATGTTGCATATGAGTTGTGATAAAATCAACTGTCAATGTATTGTAATCGTTATAATCACTTTTATGTTAGTATTGATAGTGCTTATATTTCACCATCAACAGTAATGTTTGTTCGTATCTTATATTTTTTTTACAGTTGTTTGATTAAATTTTTTATTTCTCTTCATATATGATATTAAATTTATTATTTAGTAGCTAGTTTGTACTCTTTGATGCCTATCTTTCATGGTCGACAATAATTTTTATTTATATCTTTTTAATTTTTTTAATTGTTTGATTACATTTTTTCTCATTTCATATATAGTCCTAGTTTCATTGCTTAATGGCCATTTGTATTTTTGATGGTTTAAAGAAAATGTTTATTAATTTGATTAGTCTATTTTAATTTATGTCGACTTTTTTCTTTATTTTAGTAAAAATAATAAATAATATTAATTATATTATGTTATATTAATAATTTATTAATTATAATTTAATCTATATATATAACATGTTATCAACCATAATCTAGTGTTGAACTTGATTTAGTGGTAATGTGTGCTATATGGCCTAGGTTTGAATCCTTTTAATTTCATTTTTTTTATTCTTTATCAATAAAATAAGTTGTATACAAAATGTTATCGATGACAGATCAAGGACTGAGCTTGACTTAGGGATTAGATTCTCGTAAAAAAATCAAGTTCAAGTCTCTCCATGCCCATCTCAATTTTCCTTTTCCTAGATGTTTTTCCCCTACATTTTCTATTTCTTTTCTTTTCTTTTTCTGACTAACCAAACACATATTGAAACGGGAAGTACTTGAGCAATCTCATGAAAGTCAAACCAAGTTTCGGTTTTGACTTTTAAAAAGAATTGTATTGGGGTACCCCACATTTTCATGCATAATTGCAGATAACAGCCGTTGCAAAACCTATTTTGTTAAAGCACTTATTATTTGTCTGCTTAGTAGTTTAATAAATAAAAGCTTTTCCAGATTCTCTAAATTCAACAAGTGCCCACTTTTCTCCTTTTTATTTATATGTTCTCACAGATCATCATGAACTAGCAATAATCATCAAAAAGAAAATTAAAAGGAACTAGACGTTGGGAAGTTTTTGTTTTTGTTATTGGCAAACATAGATTTAATCACTAATTTTTTAATAAAAAATCAATTAATTTATTATATTTTTATTTACTCTACCAATTAATTTTTTTAATATTAATTTAATATTGAACAAATTAAATTTTTGAGAAATAAATAAGTACCACTGACCCTCAATAAAAAAAACAGTAGGTCCTACTTATGTGATCATCGATTTTTATATATTATGGAGCCTCTTTATTTAATTTTAACTCCCTTTAGTAAATTCTAACCCCTACATAATAGTCACATATACTGACATATATTACTTTTTGCGGACTTGGTATTCATGTCATTTTTTTTTCTTTTTGTTAATTTTGTTTTATATTCTTCATTCAAACATAAAAACTTTATAGCTTTTTATTATGTCACATCAATATTAAATTATTATTTTTCGCGTCTCTTCCAACCACTTAAGATACTGATGAACTCGCCTAATCATCATTTGTCACTCTATCAGTTTATTTCTTTTACAATTATTTTAAAACTCGTAAAATCAACCAAAAACATAAAACTCATAAACCCTAAACCATTTAAATCTATAATTTCCACCGTCTGATCAACATGCAAGATATAAAACTCATTTTCTGCTCCACCATTTCTTCACCATTAAAATTTAAAAGAAGATACTCGATCATTGGGAAAACAAAAGAAATATAAAATCAGAGTTTTTTAAAAAGGAAAAAAAAGTTTTGAGGATATTTTGTAATTTTTTTAAAAAAAAATTAATCATAACATCGTCAAGTATTTAAGGATCAAATGACTAAAATATGAGAAAATTAAAATTTTAAAGAATAAACTAAAATTATTTAAACTTTAATTATTAAAATAAGAGTGAAAAAATGAGTGAAAATTTTATAATTTATCTTAAATATAAAAAGAATATGGTATCCATAAATCATTAAATTATATTCAAATAATTAAATTAATTTGAAAAATTATTAAATGATGATAATTTTTTTCAAAAGACCCGAGCTTTAAAAGACTAGCAGGAAAAAAAAAGCTTTCCCAACACATCTCAGCTAAAAGCCCATCTTTTAGTCGCGAGTCTGGAAATCGAGATGGACTCATTAGCATGAGCCTTATGTTTTTCAAACAACAACAGTAAGATTCCAAGAGAGGGAGCCTGTATTTGGTGTTTTACTTACAGGCTGAGCGACTCTGCTGAACCAAAAAGAGAAGTAAGAAGGAAACTACAGAAGAAAAGAAAAAAAATCCTGGGTTTTTCTCTTTTTGAGAAATGGATGAATCTGTTCGTCTCGTTAGATCATTTTCTAACCCGGCACAGGTTTCTCGTGAAATTCAAGAGGTTAGTTTTTTTTTAACAAAGCCTGAAACTTTACCGATAAAAAGATTATTGTTTTACATTTTGTTTGCTTAAACGGTTTCTCTTGATTCCGTTTTTTTTACTGTCATTTGTTTGGTTAATGGGATTATGGGAAAATGGATACCCGTAGAAGATCTGGAAAACGAAAAAAAGGGCTTCTCATGGACGTTTCCTTTCATTTTCTCGCTGACCAAACATAGCATACTTGACATTCCAATGATTTCCCTAAGACAAATTTCTGATTATGTTGTTTTCCCCCCCTTCAATCTTTGAGCTTCAGGCTCTTTTTTCTTCTTTCTGTTTGAGTCATGAAGCTGATGGTCCACTTTGAATTACAGGGTGACCCGATTCATGACGCGGTGCGTGTTCTTACAGAATCGATTTCTTTCGGCAGATTTGTGTCGGAACCGCTGGCATGGGAAAAATGGTCGACATTTTCTCACAATCTTTACTTGGAAGAAGTCCAAAAGTCGTCGAAACCGGGTTCTGTTGCTCAAATGAAGGCTTTTTTCGAAGCTCATTACAAGAGAAGAGCTGCAATGAGAGCAGCGGCTTTGCTTGAACAAGCCAACATTGTGACCAATGATGCCTCTCAAATGGGAACTATAAATACAGCTTCGGTCGAGCATTTGTTAAATGAGGATTTAGCCAATTCGAACACATCTTCGACTGTATCGGAGAAAGATGTTTCTGATTCTGAGATAGCTGATAATGCCTGTGTAGATGCAGGCAATCTTAATGTTGTAAGAGAAAATGATGTTGCCGACATGGAACAAGGTCCGAAAGTGATGGAAGAAGATGTGAATTTGGAGGAATGCCAGCAGGTTGAGAATTCAAACGCATTCAAAAATGGTAACATCCGTGACAAAATTATGGCAACCCCAATCATTCCCCCAAAGGTAATGTTTATTTTAACAAGTTTCTGTTTTGTTCTTCCTTATTATCGAGTCTGTATTTATGTTGCCCTCATTATCTGTTTTGTTCTTCCTTATTATCGAGTCTGTATTTATGTTGCCCTCATTATGGAACACTGCAGAAATGTGATGACCCGAAGACCTCGACTTCATCATGTAAGAAAAGAACAAATTCTTTGTCAAAGTCATTGCTCCCTGGTAAAGCATCCAAATCTCCATTACCTCCTCCTAAACGACTGGCTTCGGGACAAGCCATGAATGATGCTGATGTTGCCAAGTCCACCGGAAACTCAAATGACAAGAAGAAAACAATTCCGAATCTGCTCCACATGTCATTAAATTTTCTTCCAACGCTGGTAAAACTAATAGACCATCAGTAAAAATGTCAAGAGATATTGCAATAACTCCACAAATTCCAACTAGGATATTGAAGAAAGCTGTTGATCAAGAGAATTTAGGTACTTCAAGCGAAAAAAGTCAATCAAATTCCAATTCCAAGTTATCCAATCATGGTGGAGTATCCAAACAAGCAACTTCTAGAATCGGAAATAAGTCAAATAACCACGAGTATATTAATAATAGGCCCGCATTAGACTCAAATGAGCGGAGGAGAATAACTATAAAATCCCTTCACATGTCGATGGATTTCACACGGCGTGCTGGTGAAGCCACTAAAACATCGCCTAAGATATCCAGAGATAGCTCGACTCCACTACAAACTCCAACCAGGGTAAGTTGTCTTATGTATTTGGTGTTCTATTTGCACATTCAAGAGTGGATGACAAATAACATATTTATGTTCACAAGTGAAAAATCATAATATTATTTTCGTTTTTTATTTAGAATTCATTTCGAGGGTACTAAATATTTAGGAAGTAGACACCAAGTGGTTTGGAATTTTCAAGTGATTAAGACGAGTTTCATTCACAAACTGCAGGCATCTGTTTATGGGGGCTCAAAGCATGCTTCCAAAGTTCTTCAATCGAGAGATGAAAGGTAATCTTCACTCCTAAAATGTCTTTGTTGACACGTTGTTTAATGGGGGTGCAATGGCTTCTGTATGTTACCTTTTCCCGATTTTACTTTATAGATTGAGTCTCAGATACCATTGACATAATTCCGAAGCCCGTCTTATATGAACCTTATTACTATTCTGTATTGAATGTGTGGCAGCAACTCGAGATCTTCGATTGCAAGTAGAACCAGTGCAAGATCTTCTATTAATTTGTGTCCATTTAATGGTTCCAAAAGTCTTCAATCACTAGATGAAAGGTAATCTTCACTCAAATGTATTTGCTCACACTTTGTTTAATGGGGTGCAATGGCTTCTGTATGTTCCTTTTTCCCGATTTTACTTTATAGACCGGGTCTCAGATACCACTGACCTAATTACCGAAGCCTGTCTTATATGAACCTCATTACTATTCTGTATTGAATGTGTGGCAGATGCTCGAGATCTTCGAATGCAAGTGGAACCAGTACAAGATCTCCTACTAGTTTCTTTCCATTTAGTTTCAAGAGCGAAGAAAGGGCGGAAAAACGGAAAGAGGCAAGTCTTACCCTTACATTTTTCTCATTCTTTATAATTGTCATGGTTTCAAATTGTACCAACCTTTCTGTTTCCTTGTCAATTCCAGTTCTTTAAGATGCTAGAAGACAAAATGAAATCAAAGGAGGCAGAAAAATCACAAATGCAAATAAAACCGAAGGTACTGCAAAACAGACAACCTTGTTAGGATGTTAATACGAGTGTAATTGATGAAACCCTGCAGTTCCCAAGTCGAATCACCTAAATCTCAAAGATGTGAATTAATTGAAGAATCATTTTAGATGCACTGATATAAGAGAAAATGTTATTCATACGTACTCGATCTCTGTGTGGTCATAATCTCATTTGCTGCTTTCCATGCCAAACTGATTTATTGCCTGATATGATATGTAGGAGAAAGCGAAGAATGACATGAATAAATTCAGGCAAAGGACTGACGTGAAAGCTAAATCAAATGAAGATTCATTTCATGGATCACAGATACCGTACAATAACGCTAAGAAGGTTCTTAACCATGCTTGCCTTTTTATATTATCTTGAACAGCTTAACCTTGGATTTAAATTTTCGTTCTCTATGCATCGAAATAGAATTGTTAGCCTTAAGTTACATTGTCAGTTATACACACACATGGTTACATTGTCTATGATCCTTTATTCTCTTGATGATCAGTAGATGTTTAATGTTTTCTACTGTGTATACTGTAAATCTCGTGCCTTGCAGATCATTTCAACTCGGCCTCAATCACCAAAAATCGGAAGGAAGCCATTTGACAGCACGGTGCAGAGTGCAAACTCTAGACCTCCAAGGCGGCCTTTCGTTAATACTGAGAGCTCTAAGAATGGATTAATGAAAAATAACAGGATCCCGGGGACCACATTGCTAAAGAACAGGCATGAAAATGCTTTCCCCAATATCCAGCTTTCAGTTGGCAAAGTATTCCATACACGCATGAAAATGGGGGATCAGTCGACGGTGGGTGCAGCCGATGAGACCTTTTAAGTTCTTTTAGTAAAAAAAATTATAGAAACTGAAAATAATGTTTTTTGGGAGATAAAAGATATAGAAGAGCAGTTTGTAACATTTTTGGTGGCAAATTCCACATCAATTATAGGTACAAGTTTGTGAAATACCTTAGCTATCTTTCAGCATATAAAGTTTTCTGGCTTTTTTTTATGTACTTTGGATAATGTTAGCTGTCTATGATAAATCTAATACCAAGTTATTATGCAGATTTATATTTTTGGAAATATTTGAATTTGGATACTAAACAACAAGATTAAAAGCCAAAAATAAGATATTATATCCATTCATATCACTAATACATGTATATTAATACAGCACTAACAGATGCAAATCCCAGTTCAGAAAACTTATAGCAGTAGAATTATTATGTTTAATGTTTTATCACCATTTGTATACATGTTTTTCAACATCCAAGTCCAAACTGCTTATGAAAATGGCATCCAATTGAAGCACTCCACTTATAGATATTACCTGAAAGAGAAAAAGGATAGTTTCTTCATTGAAAACGACTTCAAACTACGTAAACAACCCTTGATCGATTGCATAGTATTCTGACGAATCGAATAGATGCTCGTGGTCGAACCTTGGTGCATCGTACAAGTATAATGGAGTTTCAGCTATCAGTGTTGGATCGTTGTACTCAGAACAATCGAAATCCTGGAGAGCGAAGTTAATAGGATAACCATCACCTTGAAGCCAGCAGATTTGCAAGTCCTCGGAGAATGATGCTAACGGTACTCCTATGCCGGCAGCATTCAGGTTTCTCTGTGCAAAGTCCGAGTCAGCAGGGCAGTTCTGACTGATGTCCTCAGTTTTCATGCTTGATTTGGTACCAGATATGGGGTTGAAAACTTGACTCTTCAGCATTTGGGTTTTGTTTTGAACCGGAAATGAGTCGACTAAGTCAGCTGGACTTAAATGCTCGACAAGATTGCTTCTATACTCATCAAACAAAGGCTTAACTTCAGTTCTTTTCCTGTTAACCTCTTTTGCAATCATGGAAGTTTCAGGCAGTGGCAGTTGGTTGAAGCCATCTTCTGGTTGCAAGGGCTCATACTCTTGTTTGGACTGAATCTCAGGAATCTCAGTCCAGGAGCACCGTGCTGGGGTGGTCGAACCGAATGATGCAAAGCTTACACCTGAATCAACTGATCCAAGGGAATTATCAAAGCTCATCTGTGAACTCTTGGTTTTATGAGAATCAGGAATATCTTTAGACAAAGCTCCTTTTGCCTCTGTCATAGGAACTGAAGTAATTCCATTTCGATCACCTTGATCTTTGAGATCAACACTCTGAGCAAGCGAGTTATTCACGGAAAAACTATAGGTACCATTCAGCACATCATCAGGCATAGTTTTCATCGGTTTATGTAGACCGAGATTGACAGTCGAATAATTTGAAGGAGTATCTGAATGTTTCATTCCAATAAATGAATTCTTGATATCACTCTCCTTCTGCAACCTGCTCAAATAGAGTCGATACTTCTGCACAAGAGAGTTTCTCTATAAAAATCTCAACAATGTCTTAGATTATTGTCTATTAAGACTCTTTCTTTCACCTGTTTAGAACATTTTCATATTTGCAAAGCTTAATAGCATTGAAAATCCATTGTTTTCATTCATTTTATCAACCCGAAAACTTAAAACAGACCACACTAGTGTTTCCTCGAAAAAGCTCTCTTTTCTACTGAAAATATATGACAAAATGTTCTCATTAACAGTTGTTTTGCTGTTCTTTTAAAAGAAATGTAACACTATCATGAGGGAAATCTATGTGGGAGGTATTTACCTGCAAGTGACTGGCGACGTTTTCTCTTGTCAACCATGGTACATTCATCAGGTCGAGTATTTTCTTAGGACCAACTTCTGTCAAACAGACAATAAACAACATCATGAACACGATGCGTTCAAACGGGATAAAAAACCATAGCCATATCACTGAAAGAGATATACTGCTACTTCTTGATGACGATCAAGAGATATATTTAAAACCAACAGCTTGAAAGTATACATACTATCGAATCCGATCTGATTTACCGCTTTGACAAATTTTTGGTGAAGGTCTACTGTCCAAACAACTCTTGCTTTCTTGGTAGAAGAAGGATCGGTAAGGTCTCGATCTTCCTGCTTGTTATCAGCATCTTTTCTTTTCCTTCCCGAAGTTGTATCGTCTCCACCGAGGAAGTGCCCGTCATTGAACAGATCACAGCCACTTCTAGTCATCTGAAGACTTTCAATACCTTCAAGACTTTCAATATCTCTCACCTCATTTATCTTCTTTCTAAACACATGCTGCCATATATTGCGTAGCTCTTTCATTCTTATAGGCTTGAGAAGGTAATCACAAGCACCGTGCTGGACACCTTTCATCACTCTGCTCGTCTCCCCGTCGACAGACATCACTGTAATGTTTTACATAAATGGAGCTCGTAAGAACTTGATCCCATTAAATTCAAGAACGAAAACGGAGCGAATAACGTTTAAAACAAAGGTTCGTGTGTTACGGTAGTGAACTGACTAATGACAGGTAAGTCCATTTCCAATCCGACGTATTCGAGAAGTTTAAAGCCGTCCATGTCCGGCATGTTAACATCACTGATTACAATGTCGTAACCATCCTTCCTTTTGCGAAGCAAGTTCAGAGCGTCTCGTGCAAGGCCACATGTAGTCACTGGAACATGGGAAAACACAGAAATATGTCTCAGACATTCCTAGTTCTCACCAGAAGTCATATGATCATGTCATAAATTACAGGGTAGGTCTAAGAAATCTCTTCAACTTCATAATCAATCAACCTAGCCATGACCTCTGCCATTCATGCATGTTCCTAGTTCATTGATAATTAGCAACTAGAGAGTCGGAATTGCGAAAAAAGGCGACAAAGCATACGGGAGGGACTAAGTGCTAGGTAGAACAACACCATCTAATTGATATTTACGGAACAAATTTTGTTCTTAGATGCAAAATCTATTCATCAACAACGCAACCAGCACTATATCACCATTTTTACAAACATTTTAAAACAAAGGGTTCTAAACTAATTTGTGCTCTGAGCATCCACCAATGTCCAAAGTCTTAAACCTACCAATTTAAGGGGGGGAAGTTGACAACCGAACAGTTTATCATACGGAAAAAGGGAGCAAAACCAAATGAACAGTGCAGAAAAATGAAAACAAAGGAAACTACAGCCCCATGTATTAGTAAACAGTGGCAAAGTAAAGTTGGTTTAAAGATAGAAGTTTGAAGAAAACGATAAGTAACCTTCATAAGAACACTTCTTGAGCATCTTTTCGAGGATTTTCAACCAGGTAGGATCGTCATCGACGACGAGAACCCGGAGACCGGTAGGAAAAGCATCGTTTCGAGAAGAACAGTAGCCACTTTCACGGAACACCATGTTTTCTTGTTGCTTTGTTATTGTTTTGTTATAAGGATTCGAGGGTTAGAAAGAGGGTAGAAACCAGGGCGGTTAGGAAGGGAAGAAGGAAGTGTAAGAGAGAGAGAAATGGAAAGCTAATGCTCTTAAAAGGGAGAAGCAGAGAGGAAGAAATGGCAGTGGGTTTAAAAAATAGAAGAATCGGAGAATGAAGTGAGTTTTTAAGCCAAAGGTGGCGAGATTCCCGGTACTTTTGAACCATTACCGCAATTGGTTGGATTTATAATAAAACAAAGCTAATAATAAAGTAATATGTATTTGATTTTTTTTAATTTATTGATAATATATATACGTTCTATAAATACCGTTATTCAAACCAAAGGTGACAAGATTTCATGTAATTATTTATAATATTAATAGCATTAGAGATGTAACTGAATTGAGTTTAAAGAATAGTAAACTCGAGTTTGATACAAAACTCGATATATATTTTGAGTTCGGTTTAATATTAAAATATAAATTTAAGTTTAGATTTTGATTTTGATTAAACTCAATTGTATTTAAGTTTAAGCTCGAACTGAATTAAGTATCGGTATGTAATTTAACAATATAAAAATATTTAAAAAATATATATTAGTAAACATTTAATTAAACTCACCAGTCGTTCACATTGGGACTAGTGATGTTAAGACTTGACCTAATTAATAATTTAACCTATTTGAGTTACATTTGATTATTATCGAACTTAATTTATTTTTAATTAAATTACATGTTTAGTTTTTAAACTATTAATTTTATTCTATTTTAATACATACTTTATTTTTTTTTAAATCATATCTAACATTTAGGTTATTTTCAATTTGGTATCCCGTCGTTAAAAACTTAACGGTGATGTAAACGTGTCACCATACGGTAATGTCACATAAAAAATTCTATTAGTTTTTTAACGACGGGTATCAAATTGAAATTTAAACTAAATGTTAAGTATAATTTTGGAAAAAAATAAAGTTAGGTACTAAAATAGAATAAAAGTAATAGTTTAGATACTAAACATATAGTTTACCATAAACCTAATATATATATATATATATATATATATTGGATAATTTTTAAAACACGTAAAAAGTAAAGGGAAAAAAGGCGTGGAAGCATAAACTCCCAATCGTGGACAGACAAAACATGATTGTCTAGTCAAATTAGGGCCTTTGGTTGTCTCCATTTCATTGGACCCTTTTTTTTCTTGTAAGAAAAAAATAAAATAAAATGACTACTAGGGTTTCAACCTTAAAGCTCAGAGGGTGATTCCAAAATTGATTTTTTAGTTTATGGCAAATGATCAAGATGACTAATGACAAATTAATTAAGCATTAATCATGGAGGAACATTTAACTTTTTAATGAAGATTCTAATTACAATTAATTGATTAATTAATAGCATGGCTTCCCACTAAATACTAAAAAGATTAAAGAATTTTAATTGTTCGTTTTTTATGTTGGAATGAGCTTGAAAACGATCGATGACATGGGATAAGAATGAATTACAATTCGTGCGTGAACTAAATGTAAAATTTATTATTAAATTATTAGTTAGTCTAATGCATTGTGATATTAATTTTTTAAATAACTAATTAAATAGTTTTAGTGATAAAATATAATATTATTCTTTTTAGAAAATTTAGGTTCAAATAATTGTGTCTGCAGAGTATATACTTTGTCGATAGACTAAGAAAATTTTTGAACAAATATTATATTGTAATCATATCTTACAATTAAAAAAAAAAGCTTAATTTTCAACAATCAAATTCTAAATATTATTTTGTGATAGACCTTTATAGAATTCAAGGATTACTCTATTAAGGAATTTGATATTTGTATTTATATGAGAAAAATATTGAATTTGTAAGAAAAATATGGAATTGAGTTTTTATAATTTTTGTACATAATGAATAATTTAACTCTTAATCTTTATATATTTTATCAAATTAATTTTTATTTCTTTATTTATTTTATTCTTGAATTTTTTTTCTTTTATATTACAATAATGATTACAATTAATACATCAATATAACTAAAACTATCATTTATATCCAAAAAGGAAAAAAAACTACAACTATCATCAATCAGTATAATGCACACATGAAAATATAATTATAATTACAATTAATATGTCTACATATTATGATTAGAATCAATTATATAACTTACAAATAATAAATTTATAAGCATAATATATTAAGATTTCGACCAAAATAAATTTAAATAAAACTCATATATAATAACACATAAACTAAACTAAAATTTGTACATAAGATTTACGTATGATATATAATTAAACTCGAGTTTGATATGTAGCATTGTATTGTTTCTTTTTAAACAAATTAAATAATAATCGCTAAATCCTAAACTTTAACTCTTAAATTATAAATTTTTATTAAAATATAAAATATAAAAGAAAAGAATAAATATTAATATAAATTTAATGATAACAAATATAAAACTATAGAAGATCTAATAAATCATAAATTATTTTATTTAGATTAAAACATTATGTTTTATTATCAGTGGCGGAATAGGTAATCATTCTTTTTGGTGCATCGGAAACGTTAAAAAATTAAAATAAATAAATAAAGGATGAGAATTGGGAAATGATATGCGAACATAACCCTAAGCTAATCGATCTTAACCGTCCATTGAGGCCATATCAGCGAGATTTAATTTAGGTTTAAATATATTACGGTTTTATATTATTTAAAAGTTTAGAATTTTATTTTCATAACTTAATTTTTTCTATAAGAAATATGAAGTTATAATAATTTTTTCTATAAGATAGTAGATTTAGTTGATAGATTACGTGGGTCTATCAGTAATCATATTAAGGGACTGTAATTGATCAAAAAATATGAAATTCTAAAGGAAAAAAACAAGTATAAACTTATAAAAGAAGTCCGGAAAAGGTACGACAATTTATAATATTGGATTTACATATAATTTTGAGAATACCCAACTCTATCCATTAGAGTAATTGTTAGAATGCTTCATGATTTACCCATGACCATGAGTGATTAATTAGAGTACCTTCTATAGACAAGGTTAGTGAGGAGTGAATTCACTGTAAATGTACAAGAATGAGATAGTAACAAGAAACTGAAACAGGGAATTTAAATTAGCTATTTTATTATAAAGTTTATGTAAATTATTCTCTAAATAAAGCACTGTAAATTTAAGATTATGATCCCAAGTATGTAACTAATTTCATGTGTTTATTCCTTCGTTTTTTCTTTCTTTCATACTCATGCTAAATTTATGCCCACATAGTGCACCACATCAACCTGCCATATTGTGTTTTCCAGTGCAACTTTTGATGAATGATAGTTCTTTTAATGGGAATGACAAGTGTTTAATGGATATGATTTTTTAAATAGCAGTTGGGTTATATTATTTAAAGATATATAATTTTTTTTAAAATTATATATCTATGACCATTCATTTCTAAATTTTCATTTTCGAATAATTTTCTTAAACGCACCCACTATGTAGATACAATTATTCAAATCCGTTAATAATATTTTTTATCGTTGAATTCACCAAATTCATTAATTACCTTTTTAATCAATTTTCAACTAATTAATATCTTTTAATTCATTAACAAGATCACTTCATATATCTAGATTTAGATGAATGGATCATTGCCATACTATTAGTGGAATGTTATGAATAGGAATGGGCATGGTACCTAAATTTTACGGGTTCCGACCCGATCGGATCGTGTCGGTTTTTTAAAAAAATCGGGTTGGGTTTATAGTGAAAAATACCCGATCCGACCTGAAAAAATATATAATTTTACATTATATATTTAGGAATAATTACAATAACACCCCTCTATATAATATTATTTCTACTTAAGTCATTGTGTTTATTTAATAAAAATAATATTTTTTTTATTATTTCGGGTCGGGTAGGGTCTCGAGTGGAGGACTCTTTGTTATCGGGTTGGGTCGGGTGAACAAAAAATTCGACCCAATCCGACCCATGCCCATCCTTAATTATGAAGCAATTCAAGAAGACAAAAAACAATCTTGAACATCATATGATTAATTATTAGTGGAAATATCAATTTTCCTTTAAGAATATTATATTTCAAATTTTGGTTTTTTTATCAATTACTTCTTTACTCTAACACATCAAGTGACATTAGTGGTTAAAAAGAGTATTATTTACAGGTCATGAGTTCAAGTAGCTATGTATAGGATTTTTGTACGTTGTTAATAATTAAGAAAAATTATGAATATATTATTTTATAATCAGTCCATACTATTCAAAGATTAGAAAAAAAAAATAAGGTGAGAGGCTTAAAGGTTAAAGCCTAACAGGCATACTTTTAAATGAGTGGGGTAAAAGAAAGGACTTGAAACAAAACGCAATAAAAATAAGAAACAAGTTCCAAAAGGAAAATGCCCAAATGTCCACTAACACAAATGCCTTTATGATATGCAATTATTTAATGGAAAATAGAGGTGTGGGCATGATTGGTAATTAACAAATTTGGGGGGATTAACCCCATGCAACTTCTCATAAGTGGGATGTTGCCTTTTCATTTTTTTATATTTAAAAACTCATAATATTCATATTCTACCTTGCTATCCTATGAAGCCTTTCAGGGTTGTTTGATCTTTACCTGTTTTTATTCTTTTTGGAATTTTCTTTTTCTTTTACTCATATAGCATTCTAAGTAGATGTGGCTTGGGAATATGCCAATGCCATAACCAAAACCTAAATTTTTGGCACCAAGGATGGATACAGCTTTGATTCTATAACTATTTGTCTTTTAATTTTTCAATACAATTCGAACAAACTTGAAAGAAATTAAAAAGTATTTGATGTTGTATTGATTTTACGGGATAAAATACTAAATCTTTTACGTAAATTGAAAGTTTGAATCTTAGTGATACAAAATAAAATAATCTTTTTTGAATTGTTTGGGTGATTACAACGTAGTACATGTTCAGAATCTTTCTTAATCATTGACAATACACATACCATTGTTAAAACCCTAAATCTCTAGAGAAAACAACATTCTTTTTTACCATTAAAATTATTTGATGAATTCTAAATAAAATAAACTAAATTCACAGAACCGTTATCAGTGGCAATAATTTGTATTTAGATGAATTA